CAAAAAAAAAAAAGAAGGATATCTACATTGGCGGCAATACAGGGAACGCCCATTGGTGCTCCTCAGTTTCACGCGCTCTCCGGTGCGTTGTCAGGGTCACCATCGACGTCCAGTTTGCGTGCCGAAGCCCACGCAGCAAACTCGTCAAACGTCACGGAACCCGAACCGTTTTTGTCCAGCTCCTTGAACACCTCCGCGGGGTCCTCGATCTTCGCACCCCACTGCTCGAGCTTGGGCACGGCCTTCTTGAACTCCTTCTCGTCCAGCAGCATGTTGCCGGAAGTGTCGATCTCGTCAAACATCACCGTCAGCTCGAAGTAGTCGTAGAGGTAGCAAAGCATCAGACGGAACTCAAGAAATTCAACAAAGTCCTCGCTGCCCTTGTTCTCCAGCTTGCTGCCCTTGTCCTTCGCCTTGTTGAACGCACGCTTCGTGATATCGCGCACACGCGGAGTGAACTCGTCCAGCTTCAGCACCTCAATGCAGCCGTTGTACACCTCATCGTAGGACAGCTTGCCCGTGTCGTTCTTGTCGAACTTCTTGAAGAGGTCAATGCGGCGCTGCTTCGCCTCGGCCGTCTTATCGCGAGGAATCACCTGACGAATGCGCTCCCACGCAACCTTGCGGTCAGTGGCACCCTTACCATCCTTGTTGCCCGCTGGGCTCTTCGAACCGCAAGCCCCCATGATCTCCTGCTTCTTGGATTGCGCTACTATCGCCTGCGACGCACACTGCAACACGCAAAAACACAACGGAAAGAGGGAGCCAACCTCAGCAAAAACGGCGACACCACAAAAAAGCTACACGCAGCCACACTTGGCGCCGCACAAGCTCATACGCACAAACCCAAGCAGTACAAACATATACGAACAGTCACCTGCTACAGAGAAAAACACGCAAAACTCCACGCCATTCCACACCCAGTAACTTGTCAAAGATAAAACAACAACAACAAAAAAAAAAAGAAGGATATCTACATTGGCGGCAATACAGGGAACGCCCATTGGTGCTCCTCAGTTTCACGCGCTCTCCGGTGCGTTGTCAGGGTCACCATCGACGTCCAGTTTGCGTGCCGAAGCCCACGCAGCAAACTCGTCAAACGTCACGGAACCCGAACCGTTTTTGTCCAGCTCCTTGAACACCTCCGCGGGGTCCTCGATCTTCGCACCCCACTGCTCGAGCTTGGGCACGGCCTTCTTGAACTCCTTCTCGTCCAGCAGCATGTTGCCGGAAGTGTCGATCTCGTCAAACATCACCGTCAGCTCGAAGTAGTCGTAGAGGTAGCAAAGCATCAGACGGAACTCAAGAAATTCAACAAAGTCCTCGCTGCCCTTGTTCTCCAGCTTGCTGCCCTTGTCCTTCGCCTTGTTGAACGCACGCTTCGTGATATCGCGCACACGCGGAGTGAACTCGTCCAGCTTCAGCACCTCAATGCAGCCGTTGTACACCTCATCGTA